AGGCTCCATCCCGTCTCGCAGAGCAGTTAACGATGCCAGTTGCTCACCACCTCCCCGTGCATTTGCAGGTGACCGAAGGACCCCAGCACTTGTGGGGAGGGGGCCGGAGCATCATGGCACACCCCATCTCAGCTTTCCAGGCTGCCTACATCTCCATTGAAGTTCTTATCGCCTTGGTGTCCGTGCCTGGGAATATCCTGGTCATCTGGGCTGTGAAGATGAACCAGGCACTGCGGGATGCCACTTTCTGCTTCATCGTCTCGCTGGCAGTGGCCGACGTGGCCGTGGGGGCCCTGGTCATCCCTCTGGCCATCATCATCAACATCGGGCCACAGACAGAGTTTTACAGCTGCCTCATGGTGGCCTGCCCCGTGCTCATCCTCACGGAGAGCTCCATCCTGGCGCTCCTGGCCATCGCCGTGGATCGATACCTGCGAGTGAAGATCCCCGTCAGGTAGGAAAATGCTCTGCGGCTGGGTGCAGGGGTGGCTGCTGCTATGGGTAAAGGGATCGAGGAGGCCACAAACTCTCCAAGAAGCAGTCACAACAGGAGGAAGGTCTCTTAGTGTTAACTCCTCCGCTCCGAGGGACGGGGCACATCTGGCCACAGCAGCGATCACAGCAAGCTCTGGCTGTGCTGAGCTTTAGCCCACTCGCAGAAAGGGGAAGATAGATCTGTCTTTATCCCAGGTTTCCCCTGCCCAGAGGAGCTCAGGAGCCTAGGGCTAGTGACTTGCTTGCTCAGGGTCCTGCCGGACACATGGCATCCCTTTGGGGGTCGGGGGGCTAGGAGCGAGACCCTAGGGTGTCTCACGAGGCAACCTTGCCTCCCCAGGGAGAATCCTGGCTGTAAGGCTGCCCTGCCAGTGAATCATTTCCCCGTCCTTCCCCTTCTCAACATCTGTCGGCAAAACTGAGCCCATTGCAAATACCGTCCGGCTGCCTCACCACTGTGCTTGGGCATAAATCGGGGGGACGCACTTTCTCTGAACTCTGCAGCTCTGAGAGGAGATAGTTAACTGCTTCCTTGCCAGTGCAATGGCACAGCCCCTCGGTTTGCAGCCGGGACTGGGGAGATGACTGCTGAGGGCATGGGGCACCGTGGCAGGACCAGGGAGGGTGTTAGCAGGTCAGGACAGGGATGCGATGCCTGGTGTCAGTGCTGTTCTCTGAAGGCGTCCTGGCACGGCCCCTCGCTGGGCATTTGCTGTTGCTGGTACCCCTTGCGCTGCATGAGGAGCTGTAGGAAGGAGAACAGGGTGTTTGTCAGGTTCATTAGCTGCAGGAAAGCTCCCACTCATGGTGACCTGCTGAGAGCATTGCTGGAAAACTCAACCCGTGGTTCAGCTGTGCTGTGGGAGGGCTGGAGATGGGAAAGGTGGGGCCCACGGATCCTGGAGGGGAAGAAACCTTCCCTAAGCAAACACTGGTAGATCTCATTCCAGCTAAGAGAGGAGATGGGAAGGCCAATGCCGAGGAGCGGTGTGCAAGTGACAGAGCACAGATGGTGCTCACAAGCGGTTCAGGCTGGCCACAACAAAAAACAG